GCTCCGACTTCGATTACAGCACTCCGTTAGCTCGATTCTCACCTTGCCGTCACTTGTCGGAGGGCGTTCAGAAGTCGCCCTGGCCGAAACAGCTTTGAGAAGTCAACTGGAGTTTTACGGAAATCGTTTTGATCAGGGTTAGAGACGAGTTCCTGCACTGACTTCGCCTGAAAATATGCAATTGTTGGGCTACGTGCATTTTCCACAGTAGGAGAGCCCATTCACCCGTCACCATTCTTCAGCGCAAAATTACTCGTTATGTATCACAAAATATAACAGTCATGCGTGCTGTCGCGGTGCACCCCTTCACCTCGTATTCGCCACATCGTAATCACGCGCTCAAAATATTCATTTTCCGAATAGTACGGGATGGTGTTTCTCATCAAAAATAGCTATGCTTCCTCGAAATCAATATTCGACAATAAATAGTACGAAATGTTCAGTTTACCTTGTAGATCAAAACTGTCAGGTACTCGGCTGGATCGCGTGGACCAGGACCATTGGTCCTGCCAACTGTCTGGCGTCTATAATATTTAATGGAGATCATTACATGAAACAAATGCAGAGCTTCACACAATGTATTGACTAAGAAAGTCAATAGGCTTAAAGGCAGCGATTACGATAAAGTGGGAGCGCATCGGGGAAGCATATGCACCACACGAATCAGTTACTTGGCTGCCAGGAAGCGAGGTGTAGCGCTTTCACGACGAAAGGTGCGCTGGTTGCTGAGCAGGACTTCGAAAGCACTCCGCCCCCAAAAGCGATCCGCCCACTAGTTTAGTTGGTGATTTGGACGAGCTGCGTTGCCAGCAGCGGCACAACTGGAGCAACTCGATTGGAGTGTGGTTTGGCATGGTTACCAAACGCGTTGCGCTGAACTCGTTCATACGCCGCTTTCTGAGCTGTCACCTGTTCATGAGTGAAAACCAACGGCCAAAAAAGGGGGTCCCATTTTGCGTTTTTTGACGGATTTCTCCGCTTTTTTCGCCACTGGCGTACCATTGAGCACCACCACGTCTCCTCTAAACCCTTCTTGAATTATCGTAATCGCTTCCTCCAATGATAGCATGATGGCGTGAGGATAGTGCGGTTCAATGACGCCATTGGACGCCATTGGTGAAAGTGCGCTAAGAGACGATCCTAACCCCACCCCCAGCGCAGATGGGGTTTAGTCCATCAATAAATCGAATGACATCATCTAAACCACATCGCCCTCCATCCATCGTGATCACTCCTTTAACATGACAACAAGTACAGCGCGTGCTTATATTGACAACAGTTACAGTGCCGTGCGACCCCACGCGTCAAGCGGCGGTTCGAGCGAACGTACAATTTTGTCTCCGAGGCAAACGAGAGCTAAATTCGCCCACACGTTGGCATAGCGATTTTCGTAATTTATACTGCCATGAAGTAAGGAGATTTTTCACTCGTAATAGTTGAATTGCTGAGCGCAGGTGGCACGATAAATGAAGGTGAATAATTCCTAGGTGGAGTAAGGCTAGGCCTTCAAAGGACCGAGACGTTACATATTTGCGGCGAAATTCGCTCGTACCGGCTTAGTAAGCCTTATCTGTGCTAACCGCCAAAGCATTCCGTAAAAACGCTTCGCTCCACAGGGGCCGGGTGCAGCAGCCGATTTAGAGTATGCATCCCCTCACCTTGACGCAGGGGAGTACATCACATAGGTTGGGGATATAGTCCCCAACTTTGGGCGAAGATATCCCGACCTTAGAGGATGTATCCTCGTGTGGAGGGTGACGTGGATTTATCCCCTAGTTGGATGAGGGATGGGTCCCCATCTCCTCGTTGAGGCTTGCTGCACTCGGCCTCAGGAGCCTGAATGATTACAGAAGCGTACCGAATGCTGGCACTGTTACCATTAATGTCGGTTCTTTATTTTAGAAGAATCACACTTCGAGCGATGTCATTTTTGTTTGTTTATGTAACGCGTTACCAAATAAAGCACGATGTTCGTGTTTGATGCTAACTGGTATGAGAGTACAAGTGAGGCGAAGCTGTCCGTCGTGACCTCTGTAAAAGTGAAAATTAACGGCGCATGGAAGTCAAGGTCGTTTACCTATGGATTTTCTTCGGCGCGCTGCACCATTTACCACCACTATTTTCCTTCAAGTGGGAGTGACCAATTTATCGTAACCATCGTGGCCTTTCAAATCTGGATTTTTACTCTTTGATCATGTGGGACAGACAAGATTTCGCCAGCGAGACCTAGAACGTCTAAAGAAAAATAGCAATCTGAGATGAAGCCATCGCCATTTATCTTATTTCTGGATGCACGTGCATTCACTGTTATAATTTTTAGATGGGTCTAGATAAAAATTGGTACTAGAATAGATGGTCCTGCATGGCGAAGAAAATAATTAAGCTGGTTGGGCGTGCGTTTGCAGGCGCGTCCAAGCGGCCCCTACGGAGCCTGGTGCCCAAGTGGAGACGCTTTTCAGAGTAACGCGGGGCACACAGCGGTAGGTTTACGAAGATCGATTGAGCCCTCTGAAACTTTTATGAGTCTACCTGATGCAGTTGAAGTGAATTGATCACTTCAAGAGTGGACTTATCGGCTGTGATGGTTCCACGGATGGTCTTATTGACAAGGCTGAGACTTGCATGTATCCGTTGCACCTGAAATTATGGCGAATGTAACGATCTTGTGGCCTTTTAGACTATGTCTGTGTGAGTGCGCTTCGAATAAGCGATTGAGGCTTGATTTTTGCAAGAGAAACTGTGTGGGGGGGGGCCATTTTTATTAGTGCCATGAGTGGGCAGGGCCACCGGACCCGTTCACTTTTGAACGAGGAGTCGTATCTTATGATGTTCTGGGAAAGGAGGGGGGGGGTCGCACTTGGGGTTTGAGCATGGTAAGTAAACTATGGTAAACTAATAACTAGACAACTATACGGATCAAGTAACAGTATGGAAGAAGCCAGAGGGAAGTTTGCAACAAAGGATTGTATTTTTGACGGTGTTTTTCGTCGAATGTTTGGCGAAGTTTGGACAGAAGTAGAGTAGTTTGCTAGTACGAAACGGGTATAAACTGTTAGAACTGTGTCGGAATCCCACTCGTCTCATGAATCACTACCAGAAACAGCCATAATGGTGCAGGTCGGTGGTCGGTGAAGAGAGAAGCGGAATCGTACTGAAGGGCTTTCGAAGACTAATATGGTGTGTAGCGGTCGCACGAGGATCCTTCAATGGAGAAGGTGTTCGTGAAATTAGTCAAAAACTTCGAACGTGCGGTTGACCCAGCTGGCGGGTCCTTCGCAGAGTTTTTAACAATCAAGATGAACAACGGTCAAGGATCCCTCAGGGCATGAGGATCGCCTTTGTCTTAGTGAGAGGAGGAGGTGAACTGCAGCTCCTAAGGTTACAGCGGCGTATGCTATCTTCCCGAAACAAGGTGATCCAAAGTTTCCTTTAAATTTATTTGATCAGAACGATATAGTTTCTTCAATTCCGGTGCATGTTTACTTTTACCCACATACATACCGGGTGCTACTAAATATTGGCGCATGGATTGTTGACCATATTTTTAAAAGTTAGAAGCTTTTTAAACGAGCTTTTTCATCTTCGGAGGTTTATCTTTATATACCTTATAACATGGCAGTACATTGCTGAAGAAAGTGCTCGAAATGGCCTTCTTCGGCAGCGATACAGGCTTCAAATCTCTTCTCAACTGACATCACTGTGGGCCGCAAGTAGCTGACGTCAAGCTCCTTCCACGCCTCCTCCAAGGAAGCCTTCAGGGAGTCCAAACTTCGACGTTGCTCAGAAGGCATCTTCTGCTTTAAGAAGCCCCACACCGCCAAATCAATTGGTTCAAATCGGGCGACTTAGATGGCCAAACATTTTGTGCCCGGTAACTTGGAAAATGACGGTCACAGTTCTCCAACATTGATTTTGCGGCATGTGGAGGCGCCCTGTCTTGCTGAAGAATGCAATGACGTTCGCTGAAGGTCAAAAGAGTCCTTGGAAGAAGGGCATTACGTGAAAATTGTTTCCGGGTAGATCTGGGCGCTGGCTTTGATGTATTCATCCACAAAGACAAGCGGTGTCATGGTTTCAGAAGTAATTCCTGCCCAAACCATGACAAATTTGAAAAACGGTTCCTTGTGTGTTACACAAGGTTGTCTGCTAGCCAGATCCAACAACTGCCTGTCGTTTTGCAAATCGTGCGCCACTTCTGGTCTGAAGATCTACTCACGTCACGCCGACGTCGGCTACTTGCGGCCCACGGTGATGTCAGTTGAAAAGAGACTTCAAGCCTGTATCGCTACCAAAGGAGGCCATCTCGAGCACTTTCTTTGGTAATGAATTTTCATGTTTTATTGTATATGAAAATAAACTTCTGAAGATATGATAGCTTCTCTTTTTGGAAATATGATCAATAAACCATGCGCCAATATTTAGTAGCCACCCTGTACATTAAATATAGGCCATTATCAGGGAAATCCCAGTTGGGAAGACAGAGAAAATTCAAAGGAATTTTCGTCCCCTAACCAATTCGGGGAGGATAGCATACGGCCCCAGGAGAGTAAAATATCAAATTTGCTGTGCTAGCCGTCACACATATATTCCCTGCACCCCCCACCATTTGTGGGCCCTTTTGAAGGAATTTTTAGGGCGAAATCAGAGTCGGCCGTTACAATGCTAGAAACTCTCATAATTCCTTTCCGGAACATAAATAATTGCTTCATTTCGAGATTTACCGTAGAAGCCACAATTAGGACTTATGGTCCCTATCTATATTCCGTATGAATTAATTTTAGATAGAAGAGCAAATGAATGAATCAGGGTGGAGAAACTCATTGAGCCGGTTAGATTTGACAATTCTAAACATTTACTGCGTGAATTTGATTCCAAGACGATCATCTCTGCCATGGGATCCAGACGTTCCTTTTGATGGCGCGGGATCTACAATCGCGAGATGTTACGAATCCTGTTGTTTCGACAACAGATTGTATAATTAGGTGGTGCGAATGTGAGAAAGCCCAATAAAGTACCTGTCTAGTTATGCAGGTCACACCTTGACCATAGCCTTTTCAGAGCTGCCAATTGGGATGCAATGCGTCCCGCCCAACGGCTGCGTTCGTTACCACTCAGAGTACTACCTGAGAAAAAATTCGTGATAAGGTGACATGGTTGAAATATGAATGTAGAAATGCCAAGCGGGCGTCTGTGAAAAATAAAAACAAGCGAAGTGGTCAACCCAGACATAAAAAACAACATCCGCTTCCTTCCCCCCCCCCCTCGTTGATTTTGAATTCGGACGACCTAGCCGTTTCGTGGCCACTGCAACAACACTCGTCTTTCATTATTAGTGGTTTTTCGCATGTCAACGTTGTAATAATATGTATCGCACTGCGGCAAAGAAATCCTGCCGTTTGTGGCCATTAGATACTCAGGAGTTAAAATTAATATAAGATTTCCAGGGGGGTGCTTTCTATAAGGGCACTTACTGAGAGAACAGTAATGCACAAATTGGCCTGAGAATACGGTAATGTTAAATTCCGTTGGAGCTTTCTTGCCCTACAACTTTTGTTGGCTGGGGTGACGTTTTCTGCACCAAAGGACGAATGGGGCTATGGACTTGGAGCCTCCTCTACCCACTTTCCGCAACCGTCCTCCTACTTTCACGACCGAATCAATTTATATATACAAATTCGACTGGTTGTCGAAGATGCGCCTTTCAAGTAAAGAGCTATAGTCGAAGGCCAGGGTTTATAACTATCTTCCTCAAAACTCAAAAATCACCTAGAAAGTATTAAACTTCACTTCCCCTCCCCAATCTGTCGACGGGTCAAAAACAGATCAGAGTATGTTCTGGCTGGAGATAGGATCCATAGATGCGCAGTAAGGAAGAACTAAAAGGAACGGAGTCCTAGGAGTTCGCAGGGGGAGGGGGGGGGGGGGACGCTTTGGTGAGATGTGAATTTCGGGGGGGGTATTATTCCCCCTGTCGTCGAAATTTACCTTTACCAAGGTCGACCATTCTTTCTGTTCCCACTCGCTACACTACGATAGAAATCCTCCAATTTTTCAGATGATTTTCGGTTCTACCGGTGGAGACCATTCGAGTACCAAAATAGCTACCATTTAGCGCTTGCTGCGGAAAACAGGAGTTCAACTCAGCTTTTAGAGAGCTACTCGTGTCGTTTAGACTATAATCGGTACTCTTTTATTCGCACGATATCGGATTGCAGTGTATTTCATACTTCCACATACCGCGATTTTCGCTTAGCAATTTTCCTATTTGCCGCGCGCGACGAGTCGCGCGACAATTAGGCAATACTAAGGGCACGCGATACCTGCTATTCGCATTCTAGCAATCGTGTCTTCGGCTTCTGTCAATTGCCACGAGAATCGGATATTCATTGGAAGAGACCAAAGAGGTTTGGCTGGTCTTCGGAAGGTATTGACGTCGTGATAAACTGCTGTATTTCCTGAAATTGGAGATTTGTAGGAGCTCAAACGACCCTTCACAAATTTGGCTCGTTGTCAAAAAAGAGTATACATGTGCAGCTTTTGACAACATGCCGCACATAGCAATATCAGCAAGAATCAGCAACCATCATTCCAAAATTGAGCAAGCGTATTTTTGGGTAACGCCGCGGTGAATGCCGCGGCACGCAGCCGGAGCCTAACAGCTAAAGTCTGTTAGAGAAACTGACCATGAGCTTTTTCAAAGCAGAGGTATCATAAGGACTGATGTGTGGAACACAAAACCATGTTTCGTTTTCGCTCACCGATTTTGATAGTACCAAAAAATTAGAGAAAGACACTGTTGCTGGCGACTGAATTTTGCTGAGGTTTTGGCGCTTACCGGGTTGGGTTCATTGCTGTGTTAAATGTCAAAATCAGATGTACATATTCGATTAAATTAAGACATTTGAGGCCTAAAACTAGCCGCCAAACTCTGAATTGTTTGGACGCCACGGGATGGTCGAACATCGACAATACTTCCACTTCCTTTTTAATTTTTTACTATTCGTACCGCGTGGCGGAAGTGGTGTAGTGGCAAGTGGCGCGCTTACCACGCGAGCGGTCCGGGATCAAATCCTGGGTCGTGAGTCGCCCGGGCCAACCAAGCCTTCCATCCCTCCGGGGTCGGTTAATTGGTACCAGACTTGTCTGGGAGGATAAAAACACTGATTTGTACATCGGCTGGCCCCCGCAAGTCATTGTGAGGAGCCACATCGCATTCAACTGCCACTGCGAGGATGTAGCGGGTTTAGCCGAATTAAACGTGGTTTGGTATCGATTACATCCTCCCTTACAATAAGCAAAGAAAAGACGTCTTTCGAAAGAGCCCAGATTATCTTGAAAGCCCCCCCCCCCTTTGTAATGCACATGTACAAGAAAATTCACGTCGCTTGAATCGTACCCCCGAGTGTTATTTACCTGTGAAACGAATAGCGAAAGAGGCTCCTACCTTGATATTGTCCACAGCGAGTAGCTCGACGCCTTTCCGCAAGCATTTGACCGGAACGACCGGTGACTTTTTCAGGTGTGAACAGTGTAAGAAGATATGACTCAAGCACTTGACTGTCAAAAATGTTCTCTATACGTCCGCCGTAGACGACATACATCAGCAGACCGCGAATGAATTCCCAATCGGCTTCTGAAGAGTGGCAATATATTCAGAGTCATCGAACGATATGAGTAACAGCGGATACAGTGAGACTCGAAGATACGTAAATGGATACCATCAGAAATCGCTTTTTTGCAGGCCGAGTTCACCAGATGGAAGCGGGGTCAAACAGGTGTCGCGGTATCCAGGATGAGCATTGCATCGTAGTTGCGTTCTTCTGACGGAGTAGAGGTGCTTGAAAAAATTCAAAGACGGAAAGCTCCTCCGAAGGAGAGGCCCGAGTTACGACTACTTGCAGCGGGGGACTCCGAAAGCATTGCAGTCGAAAAAAGGGTTTACACAATGGCGATCGACTGTCTGTTATACGAACCTTTACGAAGCTAACGAAACTTAAGCAGACCTTCACAAGGTTGTGCATGCGTAATACGATCGAAATGCATCTGCGATTACGAAGGCCGCGTTTATGGCGCGTTTCAGAGAGAAAACATCTAGACCGATCGCTTTGTTCTTGTTCAAAATGAACCAAAAATAATTTTTGGGGGCATCTCAATGTTTCCAAATGTACTTTTTCGGGATGGCATGGAAGACATCTGTTACAGCAACCAGCATTTACTGGTTTGCACTTAAAGGCAGAGTTCTTGATTTACACTGCGTGAGATTAATTACACTGCATGCGAAGAGTAGTGATGAGAGGTGGCCGCTTAGGAGAGAAAGAGGAAAAAATTGTAACATTTTACCAGGGAAATTATGAGCCTTTTGCTCTACGTTGCGGGAAAGTTCAAAAGGCCGGCAGGGAGATGAGAGATAATGTGAGCGCGGAGAGCGCTAGAGAAGTACGAGTAGAGAGAGCATAGCAGATCAACATTGCGACGCAGACAAGATATCGAGCGGTGGGCGGAGCGTGTCGCAACAGGTGGAGCGTGTCAAAGTTCTTAGCGCCTAGCGTCTAAATAACGCTTTTCGAAGTAGGGAAGTGACGCGACCTCTACACTTGCGTACCTAGCGCTTCTAGCCACCGTAAAGGCTCATTAAGTGGGTCTGAGCCCGAACTTTGCCTTTAATCTGGATAAAACCTTGGACTTCCGCGATATTTTTTCCACGAGAATGACTCACTCGATTCTTTAATAAGGCTTTCCACAAGTATACGTGTATCGGACATCAGGCCTGTCTGATTCGTAGAACTTCGTCCATGCCTGAAAATGTGAAAGGATCCATCTCTTATACCACGAACCAAAATGGAGTGGCTATTAAAACCTTATCCACAATTCAATAGATGAATCAATTTATTTCGAGTCATCAGTCAGTCAGTCGCAGTTTTTTCCCCGTTAGTCCTGTATTGATTTCGCCGCTCAATTATGAGATTTAGGGCTCTACAAGCAGAACATCCTACGCGGGCCCATCCACCTCAACTGGTCGCACCATCGATCGAGTGCGATCCCGTAAAAAGGGACTTTTGAGATTCACCAAGGCAAGATAAGACACCTTTGTGTGTAACAGGAGTTCATTATATCGTGTTAACGATTGGTGGTTAGTGTTACAACCGGTTGGCATGAAACAGGTGATCGCTACAAACTCCCCGACACGAGATAAAAAGCAGGAACTTGTTCAAACATCCGCGTTCCTGCCTGATCTCGTACATTTCTTTATCAAACAAATTGTAGAGAAGAATGCTTCCGCTAGGAGGGGGGGGATGTAGACACCGAAGTCTCTTCATCTTTCTTGATAATTGGAAGATTCGTTAGCAGCTCCAGTTTCACTACTGACTGCCCTAACAGATATACTGCCTATCAAAATTGTTCATTTTGGGCCGCTGGCGACACGATCTGATATCACATAAGTTCGCTGTAAAACCGGTCTAGTTATTGGGGCCCTGATCATCCGAATATGACACTCATTTTTCACATTCGTGCTGTTTAACGCACATTTTCTGGTTTTCTAGCTTTTCTCACCTACAGCGCCTAAGACTAAGCTTAGGGGAGGGGAGTGAAACTCCGGAGTGGGTAAACCACGCACCGTGTGGCAAAAGTTGGAGTGTGTTAGACCACAGGGGAGTGGCCTACTCACTTTGGAGCCCTCCACTATTCAAAGGCTTAGTCCTGATTGCGATCTAATTAGTGCGAGGGCGCAGACGAGCAGGAAATAGGCGGCCGAATAGCGCCAACAAAACGAAAACGAATGTCATATTCGTAATCAGGACCCCAAATAACCTCTATACAGAAGTTTACAGCGAATTTAGTGGGAATTGGCACCATAACTGGCTTCAATAGAGAACAATTTTGCGCCAGCGCCGAAAATGAAATATTATATCGTGAATGAGGACCTGACAACCATAACAAAAGTTTTTTCAGCGATGGATATCTTGACCACTCTCGGCCCTGGGCATTGAATATTGCAAGTAGTGCACAAAAAATTGTTTTCAAGGCCTAAATATGCGCATTCTGAGATCTGCGACATTGGCTGCCTTTTCTATGTTGTTCGAACATGATTTTGTGGAAACATAAAAATAGTACTATGAAGCATGGGCAGAAATTTTCACCTGTGGAATGAAGGTGCGCCGTTCTTGAAGCAGCGCATGTAACCAAGCCAAAACGAATATGGCTTGGTTGGTAAGAATTGACCGCCGTACGTCGTCGATCTGCGAATACGTCCGTAGTAGATTATTCCGTATTCCTGAAAATATTAGTTATGTTGTACTCAAGGACAGGTGGTGCTGCAAATAGGTCTCCAATTGGGAAAGAAAGTGGAAGTGTTCAGAGGTGAAGCGAAGAAAAATAAAGGAAGCAGTCTACTCGCAACAGAACGCTAGGTTTTCATCGTGATTTTTACCCTGGTATAGTCACACGGCACTGAACGCGTCATCAGTGTGAACTCCTCTGCTCTGTCTCTCTGCTAAGGCGGCTAGACTCTGATAATGGCGAGGGACTGGAAGCTGAGGTTAGGCGGGCAGAGCAATGAAGTCGCTCAGATGGATGTGTGAAGCCTTGCTACGTTGCTCGGACGGCTCCTTCGCCGGAGATGCGCCATTGACGTTAGGGTCAGCATGCTTTTCTTCATTAACTGGACGCATTCTATCTTCTTCAAAATTCAGTTTATTGGCCTTCTGTCTTCGAATAGTGAGAGGAACTGGCTGATGCACCTTACAGAACTTCTTACTACTACATATCAAACCACCCACTATGGCAGTACTCCAGAAAGTGCTCTCTGGCTCACCTGGAGGTGGTTCAAAGGTGACTTTCAAACTGCGCTGCAACATTATCGCCGGAAATTTGTTCTCCTCCTCGGTTGTCATCCACAGACGGAACTTCTCGTGTGGGGTGACGGCGGATAGTTCCTAAATTACGGTAATACTATGGCTCACGTGCTATGGAATGGATGATTTCGAACCTTCTGAATGACTGGGATAATACTGAGCATTAGGTGAACGTTCTGTAGACAGAGCCATTGACCGTCGGCGGAAGCACGTCGAATTGCATCAATTGTGGCCTGTTCTTGACCCTGACCCATTGAGATCGATGTATAATTATGTAAACCTATCGTGTTCGCTGCCAGCTTCTCCAGTTCCTAGAAGAAATGAACCAAATCTATTTAGACGAATGCTGAGAAATTCATTCCTCGCCACTCACCTGACTGGGATCTGCTCCACCGGCGAGGATGAGCAACACAGGCTCTTGATTTGAACTTTCTCGCAGGATATCAGATAGATCGAACGGAGGTGGATTGACAGAAGGGATCGCTGGAACAAACTTGGTTTCTGATCTTACAAAAACGAATGCAAGGACTCCCACCAAGAGAATTTCGGAGTAGAAATTAGAATTTCTTGAAAATATTCGTTCCAAAAGTTTAAGACGAACTCACACAGCGTCTTCAAGACAAAGTTTTGCATCGCTGAGTATAAGCGATCCGGTCGAACGGCTTGGATGAGCAGGACCTGCAAAAAGAGATTCCAGGTTTTGCTAAGATTTCATATAGCTGTAGCTTTGCTGGGGTTTCAGCGCCACGCTTGGTCAAACTGTTAAGATGAATGAAGAAGAAATTCTTTGCGAAATTTGCGCATCGGAAAGTTGTAATGGCAGGCCGTTCATGCATTCTGTAGATTGCATTCCAATGGGATTTTCAAAGCAGTAGCCCCAGGGTTTTGTGGAGCAATCTATTTTGTGGGTAGATGGAGTTGCCCATGAGTACAACAGAAGTGCCAATGACGCGACTCAGAACTGCGCGACAAAGGAGTTAAGGGCCTTACAAAGGGAGTAAATGTGAGCAAATAGACGAATCCTTGGCACATGGAAGTGACCTGAAGATGGCTGGCTTAGCTTAAATAAGGGCGGCTATAGTGGAGCATTGGGTAAGCATGTTCAGAAATGTCAGCCGCCGTGGTTGCCTGCGAGGCGGGAAAAGGGCGTTCTTGGCGGATTTATGATGCACCAATTTTTCTCTTCGACACATTTGGATCAAAGTTGTTGCTTTGCGCCTCTTAGAATCTAATCCGACATCAATTGGCCGGTGGGGGGCGGGGGGGGCGGGCCTTTAAGAACGGACCTCTGGAATGGCGTGATTGTGCCGCTGTAGTGGTGGAAAGCTGCACAGAATCTCGCTAATCGGACTGCCGACTGAATTCTTCTCACGTGCTTTGATCGCGTTTAGTTGGAGGTTGTGATAGGAGTTGTAGAGCTTAATATCATGCGTCACGTGTCAGAGCTCCTTCATTCAAGTTTACTCACATAAATGTGGTTAGAGTTGGACACAAATGAACGTCGAACAACAAATAAAAAGGAATACTTGAATTTTCGCCACAGCTGATCGTCGACTGTTATCAATCCATGTCACTTCTTTACTGGTCGATTGAGGTTCATCGACAATGCGACGGAAAATTCCGCATTTTCCAAAATCCGGGGCATGCGAAAAGGCGCGTCAGTTAGCCGCATCTTAATCGTGTGCGTGGTATAGGGTTTAGGTGCTTTGAGCTCAAGTGTTTAAAGGTTAGTGTTGGTTGTGTTGTAAATTTGGATGGCTCAGTACTAACCCCGTCCCTACTGGAGAGGCCTCATACGATCCCCTGACCCTTCCTATGCCAGTACTTGGTGATACATATGGGCAACGCCTACATTGAAAGACCACAGAATGGAAACGACTGAGACCTCAATGGGAGTTTGTAATTTAAGGGTCTAGCCCATTCCCCGCTGGAGGGGTTCTCATACGATCCCCATCTCTTTAATCCTTCATACACCAATCCCCAGAGTACCACATGGACAGCATCTTCTGGGGAACTCACAGAATAGAAGCGATCCAGGCTTCATTGAATGAGGTTTGTATAATATAAGGATTAGGTCTAGCCTACCTTGGGTTGGAACATTTTAGGCATTGTTCCATGAACAAATGACAGAGCGAACATGAGACGATCGGCTTTGAAAAGTGCTCTCGAAATGTGATAGAAAACGGCGAGTTGCAACGAGCGCATCTGCGTTTCGATTCGTGTCGAAGTACGATCCTGAAACAGCGTTATCATCACCCGTACTCTTGACACGATCGACCGTCCGTCGAGTTGAAAGGGGGGAAGTTGTATTCAGGTTTATAGGCCAGGGAAGGGATGATATTTTCTATCTTATTTTGTGATTTCTTGGGCTGATGCGGCAGGAGATTCCTATTTCGAGATCCCAGAGAGGTGCGTTGGGGTGGAATTCGCGTGAGGATTTTCGACATATTGTAAGTAGAGAGTGCAAAAGGGGTTGGGGACGTGTTTTCCTGTTTTTCGAGGGCGTGTTAGGTTTCGTCACGGCTTTCAAAGTGAATGTTAGTAATGGATTACAAGAAGAGTCTATCAGGGTATTACCTGATCTCATTCTCGTACCAAACTCGGATAGAAAGATATGAATAAGAGGGCTTGAAGTTGGTCCTATTCGTCTTTCGAATTGAGGGAGGGGGGAAGGAGGAGGGGGGGCTCGTGAAAATTTCAGAAGCTGCGAGACAACGACGGTTACTTTGGGCCTGCTACCAGCGAGCTTGCATATCTTCCCACCACTTCCAATCAGGTACGCAGCCTTTTTTAGAAATTTGGAGCAATCCTCACAAACAAGTTCATGCCCTATGCGTTCTATACCTTTCGACGACAAAATGAATGTGAACCAACTGGCAGATCGGTATACTTTTCGAAGATGGCTTGATGATTCGTGTTCGCTTGAAGTTGTAATGTGATTGTGCAGATTGAATCGAAAAGACGAAGTACAGCGAGCTGGGCAAACGTCCAGCAAAGCAGAGGTACGCGGTTGTTCTCTGCTAAAACAGAGAAGTGTCTGAGGGAAGCTGTGTGCGATACGCTCTTGTTGGCGTCGGTGTGTCATTAGGTCACGTCGTACGCATTCCTCGCGCACGACATCCAAGAAAGTGCGCTGCAACTTTCAACGGCAATAAGCCGTTCCACTGGTGTGGGAAAACGGGCGGGCCAATGTCGACAATCCTCGACGCCCTGGAGGGAGTTCCATGTACTCCGGCGGCAAAGGCAGTCGTATTTCGTGAAAAGAGAACTCAATCATAATGGAAGGATTTATCTATGAAGGATTTGGAAATAAAAACTTTTTTCACAATTTTATTGTCTCGAACAATGGTGTATGACCACTACCTAAACCTTTTAGAGCATCCGCTCCGAAGAATTGGTCAAGTGCAGTTTGAGCAGGACTACGGATGGGTGGGTTGCGGACTGGACCAAGGTAAGTTGGTAAAGGTGGTTTTTGACACCTTGCGTACCGTAGTGGAAATAGGTGAAGACGAAGACAGAGCGAGATAGCACGCGCATGGATGAGGGCGGAGGAGAGTGAGGAGCCTAACCCTCGAATCCGCCGCCAAATGTACAGCGCCTGTCCGTAACCGGCACGGTGATAGTGATCTAATGACACACCCAAAGCCTTCATATGGCCTATAGTTCAATCGGAGCGCATTCCCTTAAAGAACAGTTCAGATAGATAGCATATGAGAGGCCGTGTCCGTCTCCCGTAGCCATCGTTTCAATTCCGAAAGACTGGTAGACTGATGAAAATAAGTTCCAATGAAAAAGAAAAAACATTAACCAGTAGTGAGGGTAAAAATTACATCATTAAGTTCCTTGTGAAGCTTTTCGCTCTCCTCTATACTCTTACTGATTGTTTCTGCGTTTTCTTTCGATTTATTCAACGAGTCGAGAAGCACCGTATTGTCGAGCAGATTTGCCTCAGAAGATGCGAGTTGCTAAAAGTAAAGTATTCGTTCAAGTAACAGTCCAGATATACCATGGAAGGTCAAAGGAAAAGCATAAATCTGTTTTTATGTAATGATGTGATAAAGGCGAGGGCAAGGCTAACTGCCTAAGATATCATCAGGAGCGCATTAGTGGTTTGATGACCCGAAGTTACCCCAACGCAGGTTGGGTAAACTGCTTTGAACACCAAATGGTCAAGCGCGCGCCAGTGCAATCCCTCAGCTATTTTTTGAAGGATCAGACTATTTGAGGACCAGTTGGCGCCGCACGCATTGCGCGCGCAACACAGATCTGTGGCGAATTTTGATGGTGCGACGAAAAATTTCAAATTTGGCTTGATACAATACGAATATCTGAATTCTCCGCTAAATTCTATGCGCTCTTTCTTCGTCAACCATTATCCTATTTTTCTCGGTCCTCGGCCCGGACAATAAATCTCGTGGCGAACTCCGTCTACTTCGGTGCGTGCCCTGCCGACCAATAGCATTTGGCTCCCTTCTTTTCGCCGACCTCTACCCCCTTTTTCACCGGTCTCTGGGACCTCTTGGAACCAAATTACGACACTTTTGGCAAACTCCGCCCACTTAGGTGCGTGCTCTACCCAGTGATAGCAGTTGAGCTCTTTTCCCTCACCAACCTCTAACCCCGTTTTCCCCTATCTCTAGGACCTCTTGCAACCGAATTGCGATACTTTTGGCAAACTCCGCCCACTTGGGTGCGTGCTCTACCCACTAATAGCATTTGACCTCCTTTCCTTCGCCGACCTCTACTCCCTTTTTCCCAGCCTCCTGGACTTCTTGGGGCCGAGTTATGAATTTTCGTCGCAAACTCCGCCCACTTTGGTCATGTCCCTCCCACCATTGACAGCTGGCCTCCACTCCTCCACCCACCTCCATCCACCTTTTCCGCGGCCTCAGGGACTTCTTGGAGCCAAGTCATGAATTTTCGTCGCAAACTCCGCCCACTTTGGCCAAGCCCCGCCTACCACTGGCCTTTGACCTCCACTTTCCCACCCAACTATATCTTCTTTTTTCCCCACTCTCCGGGACCTTCTGGAACAGAGTTCTGAATTTTCGTCGCAAACTCCACTTTGGTTCAAGTCGGCCACCGATTGCAGATGGCTCAGCTTCCCCTACGTCATCACCTATGCCCAGCTCCGGTATTCTTGGAGCGAGTTATAATTTTTCGTCGCAAACTCCGCCCACTTTGGTCAGGCCCCGCCCACCAATGACAATTAACCTCCACTCCTCCACCCACCTCTATCCACCTTTTCCCCAGCCTCCGGAGCTTCATGGAGCCGAGTTATAAATTTTCGTCGCAAACTCCGCCCACTTTGGTCAAGCCCCGCCCACCATTGATAGCTGGCCTCCACTCCTCCATACACCTCTATCCACCTTTTTCCGGCTCTTTAGGACTTCCCCGACCCGAATTATGAGGGCTTGTAGAAAATGCTGTACACTTCAGAGCGCGCCCCGCCCATTCTGGGCAGGCCTCCGCCCACGTCATGTATGCGGGAAACACCTTAGACATTGCTCCCTTACACCGAATTGTTTTCTGCTATAGCATAATACAATATAAATAAATACCCAACCGAGTTATGAAATTTTTCATAAAGCACTGCTTTTTTAGAGAACGCCCCGCCCACCGGGGGTGGGTCTCCCTAATTCGATGTTACTTACCAATGCACACCTTAGCCCACTTTTTGGCCCAGTTTCGAGGTCGTTTTTTCACTGAAATCGAAATCTTGGTCTTTGGTACAATTCATTTCGACGCACGCCACGCCCTCTGTGGGCGGGGCTCCGCTTAGCTGATGTGTGTTTTGTATTACGTGAGACCCTGCCCACCCATCCCACACTTGACCCGGTCCCTCCAGGCGGATCCCGAGGAGCTAGGGAATTTCGTGACAGACATACAGAACGACAGACAGAGAACGGACAGACGAAGCGCTTTATAGTATGTAAGCATGACGGTAGCAAAAAAAAGGGGAAGGACGGAATGTAGTTCAATGTGGCGCCGTTTAGCATGGACAGGGTCTTATCTATCGGAATTTGGACCTGTAGGGGGCAGGGTCAACCGTTACGTTGGACCGATATTGGAGCGACGTTGGACCGATGTTCACCGCTCTCCGCGCCGGCATTCACTCTCGCCACCCGCGAGCCGTCTGTGTCTCCGTGCGTACGTTCACTCTCGGCATTACTCTCGTCGTCGCTGCTTTAGGGGCGACCAGACTTCATCCATTCGCGTCACCTCCTCCCCACCCTTCGTTTGAGAAGATTGCGGAAACTTCTTGGACGGATGGAAACGTCGCTTGTACTCAGCCGATCCATCGAATGAATTGTATAAGCCAAATATATGGGAAAATCATTGTGATTTATGAAGTAGAAGAAAGAAAGAACATAAATGCGTGATATATGCTGAGAAGACTCGTGACGGGTTTTGATAATAGCGTTTTCCTCTGGATTCCAGGACAAATTTCAAATTTTTGTGAACTTAGTATGGGTAAGCTTCCATTTGCAGAAAAAAACCTATTACCTTCACCTCTATTGTTCACATTTCCTGGAACGGAAGTGGTGTAGTGGCAAGTGGCGCTGCTTACCGCGTGCGCGGTCTGAAGATGGAATCCTGGGTCGTGCGTCGTCCTGGCCAACCAAGTCTTCCATCGCTCCGGCGTCGGTCAATCGGCACCACACTTTTCTGGGAGGATAACACTGTCTTGTAATACATCGGCTGCCCTTATAGGCATGTGCAATGGCCACTGCGAAGTAAGATGGAGAGAAGGGTGCAATCCAAGAAAGGGATTGATTACTCGGCAATGTTTAACTTTTCGTTTTATCTATTTCTTCAGTTCCGCGCCTTTTTTAAATTTGGTCCGTTATAAAGAACTGTAATTAGAGGTAATTTTTGTCGATCTTTCTTTCTAAACAAACATTTGGCAAAAAATCAAAAAACCTGTAGTAAAATTGCTCCAGTTTTCGAGTTCATTTTTACTTCCGCATCTCTAGCTAACGCACTTGATCGCTCCTCAAGCTCTGGCTTCTCAATTTGAATTGCCAGGCCAAGCAACTGAAATTAGTAAATTCCCAAGGTTCCATGAGGCTAGAAGTAACGAAGGATAAATTTGAAGAATAAACAAATCTTTGCTTTAACGTGTGACGTGGAAGTAATCCCACTTTTGTTGTGGTGCGCTGAAGGCCATTCGCAAGGAGCAACGTACGAATATGTCGGAATGA